TCCTGACTAGGACACTGAAATATGGGGAAACTCACATATGTATAATTTCACAGTAGCATAAAGCCATCTGGGAGTGGGGCAAGTGACTGGCTGTAACTGGCATAGAGAGAGTGTGCATGGGCAAAGCCAGCCTTGGGGTCTGAGCTCTGCCTTCACCTGGAGCTTCTCATCTCTGGCCCCGGTGTGGATCTGTCCTGCACCAAACACATTGGTTCTTCCATGTGCACCTCTCAGCCCAGCCTCACCTTCATAAAACAGATGCAGTTATTCTGACGGTACCAGCTGGAGAAGGTGGAGTCTGGAATGGCCACCAGGCCTTGGGGAGGCAGAAGTTCATGTCTGAAGTTCATGAGGCCCGAGGCCTTAGCTCAGGTGACAGATCGTTTCCCACAGGGTGCAGGTGCAGTGTGTCAGCACATCATGTGACCAAATCGTCCCGGAAACAACGACTAGGAGAAGGGTTTGACTCTTTTTTTTTTTTTTAAAGATTTATTATTTATTATGTACACAGAAGAGGGCACCAGATCTCATTACAGATGGTTGTGAGCCACCATGTGGGTGCTAGGAATTGAACTTGGGACCTCTGGAAGAGCAGTCAGTGCTCTTAACCTCTGAGCCATCTCTCCAACCCTCTGAGGCATCTCTCCAACCCGGGTTTGACTCTTAGTGTGATCAGGAGTTGCGATCCAGCAATGGGGAGGGCGCTGCTCGACTGTGGAGCTGCGGGCTGTGCTGGCGGCAGCATGGGGAGGAGACTGTTCACAACATGACCAAGAGAGAAGCGGCGAGCTGCCTCTATGAATTTAGGTCAGCCTGGTCTACAGAGTGAGTTCTAGGACAGCCAGGGCTATGTAGAGCGGCTCTGTCTCAAAAAACCAAACCAAACATAAAAAGCATCAAGCTGGGCTGGAGAGAGATGGCTCAGTGCCCTTGCTGCTGTTGCAGAGGACACAGGTTTGGTTCCCAGCCCCAGTGGCAGCTCATAACCATCTGTACCTTTAGTTCTAGGGGATCTGAGGTCCACTTCTGGTGTCACTACACACATAGCTGCACATACATACATGGAAGCAAAACATTCATACACATAAAGATAAAAATAAGTATCTTCGGCCGAGCAGTGGTGGCACACATCTTTAATCCCAGCACTTAGGAGGCAGAGGCAGGCGGATCTCTGTGAGTTCGAGGCCCGCCTGGGCTACAGAGTGAGTTCCAGGAAAGGTGCAAAGCTACATGGAGAAACCCTGTCTAGAAACACACACACACACACACA